CGAAACGTTTGGGAATGTACCACGTTCACGGTTCAACTTTGGAAATGATCATGCAGACAATGGACTCCGGGCTAGGAGCGTTCCTCTAAGTCTTCTTACCAATATGATCAAGTTGCGAAAACAAGATCAAACAACCTCTAATATTAGGTAGGTTTAAAATCGGGCGCCTTGCTTGACTTGTTATTTATGGTTAATTATCGTTAAGCATGGCGTCCTGCTCTGACGATGACCGTCACATGACGGACGAAAGCTCAGCAATAATTCATCGGGGTCACAGGGGGGTGCACCGAGGACCTATTCGCATAAATCTACAACCACAGCTCAGAGGCAATCCCTCTAAAATTTCAGATGAGAACAACTTACGAATCCCTTCCATTCGCCTCTTCAAACGAAATGAAAGACACTTCAACATCAATCTTTAAGGAATTCTTTGAAACCCAATTTTTCAACCAACTATTAGTTGCCTGAAAACATAGAGGATAGAACAATATTTTCTGATCAGCTATGTGTATACCTTATGTTTTTCGCAGAGCCTGCAGATGGCACCCCAATACTGTTCGGGAACGCAGAACCATTCACAGTCACCAGGGCCGACGTTGATATTAACTGCGGAAAAGTTGTTATTTTCTTGGTGGCCAGGAGTACGAGAACCAGGAACCTAGAAAAGCATACCAATTTTCACAAAATTAAGTGATTTATTTTATAAAATGTTATGAAAGATATGCAGTAATGAGATAGATGAAACTGCTTAGTGTAAGCCCCTAATCACAACTTGTATTATGACTGTTGACCGAAATAATCAAATAATTGTGCCATCCTCTTATGCGTCAAATTATTCTATTCCTTTTCGTTTAGTCCAAAATGTAAGCCAAAATGAAGTATACCTCTTATCGCAAGATAAATCGGACTCAATAATAGGAAAATGCGGATATGCACTTTTATGGATTTATAATAGTAATGCTAATTTGTGAGAGCCAAACAAATTTTAATAGACTAACCAAATCTTATTGAAGAGAAATTATCTAGTAATCTTCAGGGAAGCTCATTGGGCGACCCTAATATTAGGGAAAATGCTGTCAATTTCCTAGAATAAACATGAAGGAAAATGGTCTTGTAGATGTGAACGTAAAAGTCCTAAGCACACCACAAATAATCAATGTCGGGCCCTTATTTGTCATTCGATAAAATCACTTTCCGAAAAATTTCACCTAAGTGATCAGTCTATAATTAAATCTTCTAAAGAATGTTTATTAGCTATTACGACGTTTACACATGACGGCAAAGAAAGCAGAACACAGAGTCAGCAGTTTTATAGTATAGTATGCAGATGACTTTTATACCGAATAAATATTGAGAAACAAGCCTAAGATATATGTGCCTAAAGCCTGTAGAGCTTCAATTAAGATGGATGGGGTGAGGATACCTTTTGGGAATCAAGGATATTTAAAATTAAATGGAAACGTAAAGTCATTGTTGGAAAATTCAATTACTAGTCGTTCATCATCTTAAACGAAATAAGGTAAAAAAATCGTATCTATCCTATATACTGGTAGTCTCGAAAACCTAGTTAAAAAAGTTAAATAGTTCAATTATTTTAAAAGCTCCAAAATTAGATAATTCTATGAATATTTTTTTGTATTGAAAAAGCCTCTCAATAACAAGATCCAATGAGAGTTAAATCTGTCACATCCACAACTAGTAAACTGAAAGGCAATTAAACATCTGTATTCCATGTGGCAAGACTGATACATTTAAAGGTAAAAAGCAATAAAAAAAAGTGGCACAAAAACCTAACCTTCATGTATAGCTGGACCGTATTCATGCCGAGGAGAGGATAACCAACATGACTTAGCATATTTGAGGCGGAGACAACCCGCACAAAGGTGGGCAGTTTCGTAAGTTCATGAAGCTGAGGCAACCACTTTCGCTCATCAGAAAGATCACAGTTTGTGCCGAATCGAATAAGCTTTCTCGGTTTGCCTGGCCGAATGCCTGAATTATCGAGCTGGCTAGCCTGTGATAAGCCGGTCTGACCAGGCCCGCTGGACACTTGACCGGGGACGAGATTATCACGACGATCATCGCCAACTAAAAGATATAAAAAGCATATAATAGAACGATAGTCACTTTAAATCCCCTTGATGATTCAAAGCGAAGTATTCAAGCTTTTTTATTAAGTGGCATAGTCTCCTTAATCCCACATAAGTTGTTTGACCTTGATTTCGTAACTTGGTCGTATTGTCAAGGAGACCAAAAGTAATGCATCTTGTCCGGAGTCCATAGTATGCATGATAATTTCCAGTCGGATCGGGGAATTTGTACATCCCCAGATGTTTCACCGGAATCGTCAATGAACCTTGCCATTCTTAGCACCACCCCTGTAGCCTATAAGACGCCGTATTTTTTAACATTCTATTAACCATGTATTCAACTAGCTAAAACTTTGGGAATAGAGTTGTGCGGGCGGTTTGGTGTAGAGATAACCTCTTATGTAGACCAACAGGTCTAGTCACATGTAAGCACAAATCCTTGTAGCATCCTGATCTTGAAGGATCTGAAAATTCTTAAGAAAATGCATATTTGACGATAATGTTGGTTTCTCCTTATATATTCTTCTGATTTTCCACTTCATCAGTAGTTCTCTTATCATTTTTAAAGGCCGATAGAATGGCAAATTTAAAAAGGACGTGATCTATATGTCCTCTCCGTCTTAAATAGTTAGCTCCCTGAATCATATTTTTGAGTAATAAAAGGTCGTCGTCAATCACACCTATTGGATAATTGTTTTTAAACCAAAATATTCAACAATCTACTTATTTCCTCTTGTCGATGGTCAACGTCCGCAAGACATCGACTCGTTATTGTATTTGTGGGTTACCCA